TGAATTTGATATCTTTTATTAGACCAACCCAAATGGTTGGAGAATAGTTATTAAGCAAGCTTTCGGGTTCAAAAACTCTTCATCAGGCTCAGGAAGCTTCAGCAGGTGGGTTAATTGAGCATTTGTAATTCTACAACTATCTTTTAGTCTTTGTACAGTATAAAAATGAAGACTAGTCCAGGACCCTTGGTTCCCAGTGGAATGGGGTAGATGGGTGCTTTCATCACAAAATTGCTCAGCTCTGGGTGCTGTTTTTAAAGCAAGTTGACTAGCTTTTTTTCTATTAAAAAGTGCTCCCATGCTGTGTCCTTCAGTCAGGAGTGGTTTGCCTTGAGCATTTGGTATGCCGGGCATTGGAAGTTAAAGATCTGTGCTGCTGGGGACCACATCTTGATGGCAGTTGTCTTTCCACCTGTCTTCTGTGGCTGCAAAAAAACCCCTCTGTGGCAAGAACTCCCAGGGACAAGTTATTAGGAAAACCTTTTAATATAGGGATATCCTTTAATATATATGAAATGCTAAATATTTAATTATGCATGCATACATGCATATTAATACATATATGAATTAGTTGGCTTTCAAGTGGACTGGTTAGCCTTTGGGAAGGAGCAGAGCCAGCCCCCCTCACCCAGGCGCCGTCTCCAGAGCCAAGCTTGCGAATCTCTGTGTTCTGTCATCGCTGAGGTAATGCAGTGTATTTCTGTGCCTCCTCTTCATATGGCGGCATCTGCTTACCCAGGAACAATTAGAGGATTAGATCAGTCAGAGGAATGGGAAGTTAGCAACAATTAGGGATGCCAAACTCAGCGCATCCTAATTTTCTGCGGCTCGTGCGTGCCCATGTGCAGCTTTCCCAGCTGTTTTCCAGCCTCCGCGAGCTGAAGAGCAAGCTAAATAAATGCAAGGTTTGGGACTGCGATGAAAGCAGAGGTGATTTGTACTGACTGGTACATGTCATGCAAATGGGGCTCGCGTGCCTTGTCAGGAGACAGGATTGCTTGCCCCAGTTCCAACAGATCATGTGTCTTTACTGCAGGAAAAGAAATGTAATTGTTGTGGGAAGGGCAAAGAATATACCGGGAATGTGGAGAATGACGAGCAAGGTGTGCTGTAACCTGTTGGAAAAGAAAAGGGCAGAGTGAGGCCGGGGGGACGGAGAACGCATATCAAGATACCATAAGCTACAGGCAAAGATACACTCACTAGATTCCTAAGGTTATGATGAAGTGTGATCCATCATAAAGACCTTTCCTAGCCTTTTAATTATCCTATGGGATATCACCATGGTAACCCTGGTATAGTTGTCACGTGTTGGGTAAATCTTCCAACTTGTGGCTATTGCCCTAATATAAGCTTTTCTAGCTACAGGAATAAGGACTTTATAGCCAGATTTCACCCTCCCTTTGTGAAGTCGTGTTATAAGTGGCCACTTCTGTGGCTGTGACTTCTCTCCATATTAACTGTTTCCAGCACTTCCAGTATTTAATTTTCTCATTGAACTGTAGCACCGGGATAAGTTCTTTCCAAATAGCTCTGAGCGCAGTGGAGCAGGATTTCCCAGAAGGCTCCCACCTGACCTTTCCGTGGCAATCTTATTTTTCTACAGCCGAATTGCAGTGCTGTAGAGAGCCGAGTTTAACATAACCTAACTTCTAGCGTTTCCAGTCTGAAGAATAGACAGCGCTGTCTGTGCTCCAGTTTATTTTTGCTGTTTCTGGGATTTTTGGGGGGTGGTTGGTAAGGAGATTTTTTTTTTTCTTTCCTTGGGTCAGTATCATAGTTTAAGGCTTCAAATGAGAGGGCATGGGGAATGAAGGGCTCTCTCCAGCCGCAGGTCAGCAGCACCAGTTCAGGCACTTAATTATCACTGAGGTTACCGAAAGTGCATTTCCCCTGTTGCTGGCCTATGGGAGAGTGCATCGCATGTCTGCTTGGTGCATGCTAAACTTGGAAACGGATGGAGTATGGCTAGCCTTGTGGGGTGCCAGGCAGTGTCGTGGGCACGCTTATTGGAACAGGCCTGATGTTGCCCTTAGCTGGCAGCGGCACATCTGTTTCAGGATTTAGCTAACCTGCAGCACGTGTGCTGTGCCTCGCTCTGGCTCTCCCTAGCATGGGCTGGAGGTGGTGGATGTGAAATCTGAGGTTTTCCAGTTAGGCCTTGCAAGAACTTCAGCAGTGAGGGTTCAGGCGAGGAAACAGCATGGATTCAGAGGGCATTTGCTCTTGGGCTGACATCAAACAACAGTGAACTGTCTTCAGGACCTGGGTATCTGCTGCGTCTCTTGCAGGGGGGAAAACCCATCAAACTCATAACGTGATGTACTTGGTGATGGCGATCTGCTCTTGTGCTGCCGAGGCAGCAAGGCCACTCGTCTAGAGCCAGCATTAAATCCCCGTATTGGGTGACTCTTCCCATTTTGCATCAGGATGTGCGCTGGTGACCAGTCCAGGAAGGTGTCGCACCACTTGGAACAGCATCTCGAGACGCAAGAAGGATTGTGGGGAATTAGGAGCAGATGACAGATTCTCTCTTCCTTCCAGAGGTCATCAAGCAAACTTCCCTGTTAAATTTGGGCTGAACTCTGTCTGCCCCAGCCTTCTCTTTCCTGTCCCCAGCGCAGTCTCGGGAGACACCGTGCAGTCCAACGTAGCTGCATTGAATCGTGCCAGCTGACGTGGCCGCTACCTTCCCAGCCTTGCGAGCAGGTGAACGTTTACTTCGGCATCGAAGCGGGCTGTTTCCGAACCACGTTGCTGCTGTCATCTCTTGCAGGCCTGCGATCTCCTGAGTCGCAGATAAGCTGGAAAAGCATATTGCTTTTCTTGTATCGCTGGTATTATTACCAACCACACACAGGCTAGCATTACAAACAGTGTCATGTCTGGTGGATTGGGAGGAGGGCTGTGCTTTCAAACTTCCAGCTTTCAACAGAGCTCTGATTTCAGAGATCTGCAGAATTGCTGCATAGATTCACCTGGCTCTAGCCCAGGACTAAGTAGCTTGTTTGTGTTAGGCTGGCTCTGTGTTTCGGGAAGCCTTGCTGTCTGCTCGCTAGCTAATGGGACTCCTTCCTCCCTCCCTGCCCTCCTCCTCCGCTCTCAAGCCTTAAATGTTCAAGGCTTTAACGGAAGTCAAAGCATCCGCTACAGGATCTTTTAATGAGGAGAATTGGTTTTTTTTCACTTCTGTTCCCTTCTCTCTGTTGGATTTGCTTCTATTGAGACTGGGTACATCTACATGCGCATTAAAATAATCATGTAAAAACCATGCTTTTTACTTAATGCACGTTAAAATAGGCTAATGTATGTTGAGCATCACATAAAAAGCGTTTGCTTTAATTAATGTGCACTAAGCCAGGCTAATGCGCATTTTCCTAGTACCTCACCATGGAGGTACTGGATTTGATGCACATTAACTAAAGTGGATTAATGCATGTGTGGATGCACCCACTGTGTGTTAAACCAATCCTGTTGGGCGTTTATACACATACTTTATACACAATATCCAGAGCGTCGGGACAGCCTCAATTAATTAAGTCTGCGGAGCATGCAAGCTGATGCGCCCGGTGCTGCATCAGTATAAATGGCGAAATGCACATCTGTGCAGAAAATGGCAGCAGTGTGCTTTTGAATGAAAACGCCTTTGATGTAGTTTAGTTCAAAAACGCGCCATCGCCATTTTCTCAGTGCTTTCACTTTTAAAAGCGCTCGGCGCTGCAGTGCATACACGTGTACAAATGCCCAGTGTGACCCAAGTCAGCGTTACCCACATGTGTTCTTGCGGCTCGATAGCATGCCTTGTGTGTGTGGACATACTCATGAGTGTGTCTGTACAGTAAGATCAGAGATGGGTTCAGCCAGGATTTCTGCTTTCTCTCATGTGGCCTTAGCTGAATTTTGAGTACAGAGCTAGTCCACAGCGGCTGACGTGCAACGGGCCGTGATGGATCATCACAGGTTCAGAGAAGCTCAGTCAGCCTTCTCCCTCGTGTGGGTTTCGTATCAGGTGGTTTGCTGGGGTCCTTTGGGGACGTGTTTGGTGTCAAGTATCTGGCAGGGGCCAGAGCCACTTGGGAGTCTGACTTTTAGGCAGCGTGCATGAAGATGTCGGGGAATGCAGGTTTCCTTCCTCAGGACTGATGGAAACTCCTTCCTCTAGTGTTTCAAGGTTTTTTTTAATTGAGCTTCTAGCTGGTGCTTGTCTGGATCTTCTTAAGCATGTAGAATTTGGTTTTTGGTTTCTGTAAGTGCAGCACTCTTATTTATTTATTTATCATCCCCCCCCCCTCCCCCCCCAATACTTCTCTGCTTCAAAGCTGCTTTTAAGAGCTTTGGATGGGTGACAGAATGCATTGAGAACAAGGCAGTCAAAGACATCTAAGCAAAGAACAAACTGATTTCAATCCCATTTGTTTTCAAATGTCAGGATGTTTGTACTTGCAAACAAGTTATTTATGCTTAAGCTCATGTTGCATCCACAGATCGTTATTTTAAAATCTTATTGATCTCTTAATGCTCTGAGATGTAACCTTTTCCCTTGATCTTGGTATTTTTTTCCTGCTGGATGTATCGGGAGGAATATATACTGCCTGTACGAACAGCAGTTTGTTTTAATAGTGGAGGGATCCAGGTGGGATGGATATACAGTATGTTTTCCCATCCCGTGCCAACTCCCATTGGCGCTACAAGCTTAACAATAGGAAGTCATCACTATAACGTAAGCCGTCCTTACTTGTGAAATGTATTGAGGAACCTTAGGATATATTTTGTCATGAAATGCCTTGCTAACTTTTGTTATGTTTTCGGGTTTTTTGAGAATAACAACACTTATTATTTTTAAACTAACTCAGTAATACGCAGGATTGGTTTCCAAAGAGATCAATGTATTTTTTCCTAAAGACAGTCTAAGTTTTGAGACACAACAGCAGAACTTTGGACCACAACTTTGGACCTTTGCACCGGAGAGCATATTTTGTTATTTGTTCCTCTTGTTGCAGAGTACGGAGTCTGCGAGAACTTACGGAAGCTGGAGATCACGGGAGTGTCCTGTCGAGATGTCTACGCCAAACGTAAGTGGTGAAGCCAGCGCAGGTTTGTGCGCTGCTCCTCCTGCGCTGAGTCACTATTAGAAGTGAATTTACACCAGATCTTATAACTTGGGCAACAGAAGAAGTTTGAAATGACTTTCAGTATTTTGTCACGGAGGCTTCCCTTGGAAAGCTGTAATGAGTTTCATTTTATATTTTATTTATCATCAGATGCCAAAAACTGGAATGCCTCTGACCCCCTTCTGCCCCCTTAACAGGAAAAAAACAGGAGATCTGAGGATTTCCAGGACTGGGTTATTAGTTTGTGGCTGGCTGGCAGGTTTAGCACTTGGCAATTGCTCTTCTCACCTGGCTCTTTGGAGCCTTTAATTTGTTAGACCTTTTCAAAGGTATCTGTCTTCGGCTGCTTTGCTCCTTTCACATCTGACTAGCAGGTGACCTGTATTCATCAGATGTGGGTTCAGTTTTCCACAGGCCTAGGAAGCAAAATGTCACTCTCTTTCCCTAAACCCACCACCTCCTGTCTACCATGACGGCTCCAGAGTGCATTGACTTCTCATGGGGGAAGGTGGGCAAAATGATTTTGTGGAACATCTACAGCATCATGAGAGAGAGAGCAGGGTAGGGAGATGCTCTCCCCACTACCTGCTATGGAAGGGGACTCGCTGCTGACCTGTACAGAAGCATCAGTATTTGTTTCCAACCCCTCCATTATGGCGTGGGCGAGTGCTTTGTGCAGTATGGCTGTGTCGTACCTGCTTTGCACCATGTAGAGCAAAAGCCGGTCAGGAGCCATGCCCAGAATGGAGTGACAGTGCTCAAGTCCGATGCTTTCCAGACCAAGCTGCCTCTTGTTGCTAAATTTTGGCGTTGCTAAAATTGGTGTTGTTAAATTTTGACCCCTTATAGTCAGAAGGTCACAGGAGCTGGGAGGGAGCTGGCCCTAGCTGTAAGGCTAGCTGCCTGGAGGAGGTGGTTCCTACATTCAGACTTTATTGTTCTCACTGAATCCCTCTCTGAGGATGGTACTGTCCCTAGGAAGAATTGGTGACACCTCTCTCTGCAGTGCTTGGACTGAAGTTTCTAGGTTCTTCATAAGAAGGTCTTTGGAAACTGGAAACATTGAACTGTTTAGGTTCATAGGTCACAAAAAATGAAGTGTGGGTTTTGCACTCCCTGGAGAGACAGGTGTGTTACACAAACTGATACCTGGAGGCAGTGAGTGGCCTACTGCATTGACCCTTGTGCCGGGAGCCAGGAGCTCCCGAGTTCCAACCACCTCGTGCTGGGCCCACAATAACTTGGCTGTGTCCACTTTGCCATCGTGTCTGTGCCTTTAGTTTTCTTGTCTGTACAATGGGAATGCTGCTGCCCCTTTCCCTCACAGCCCATACAGCTTGGTTCAAGGTTATTCATTCTCCACATCTCTACAGAGAGATCTCACGAACCCTTCAGACTCTTTTGGCATCCTGTGGTATGTTCACATTAATCAAAATGTCAATTATTTCTAAGCTGACGTGTCTGTCATGCCCCCGGTACAATCCTGTTCATGTATCTTTGCTTTTGACATTCTCTCTTCCCCTTGCTAGCCTTTTTTGTTTTAAGCTGTAGAGCTGCTTCTCTTAACCTGTGTAATTTTCTTTCCATTGCATTGGCTCATTGATGAAGATTAGCATGTAATGCTTTTAGCTGTGGAGTGCAGGCTTCATTCCCTCCATACAGGATGGATTTCTTTCTTACCACATACTTGTCAGGCAATCATATTCTGGCTGGTGCAGTCACTCCACACCCCTGCGCAGTCAGATGGTTGGGCAGCTTCCTCTGTCTTTCCACATCCTCGCCTGGGTTTGCAGTCTCTTCGTATGCAGTGGGCTTCTCTATTTGCAAACCCATTGGTCCTTTTGAGAGAGTGTGGCCTCGTTCTTGGGTTTCCTGTAGAAGTCTCTCTTTGCAGCAGAATTTGATTTGAGACTACTGGCAGCATTCAGCCCTGAACGAGTAAACCAGCGGTGCCCAAATTTATCACTCCATGGGCTGGATAAGTGGCATGGGGTGGGTCTGCAGGCTGGATACCAGAGGGACAGTCTGGGTGCGATCCAGTGTGCTGGCCTGGCCCTGCACACCTGCATCTGGTTGGATTGACCTTCCACGCCAGCCCAGTCTAGTGCACAGGGCCATGCTATCTGGCTCACAGACCTCTCCACAGCCTGCAAACTTGGCAGCAAGAGAGCAGCAATTACTGGTGCTCCCCACCTGGTAAGAGGCAGCCCCAAAGGCTTGGAGGTTGAGCACTGTTGGGATGAGCAATGAACGTGCCTTACCAGGAAGACTGGAAATAAAGCTAGACCTGAGGTCTGGGAGGGCACGCTGGGGGGTGGGGGAACAATGCCTTGGCCTGGTGTTTGGATAAGTTACCTGGGTTCAAGAGTCTTGTAGGATGCAGAGAGACTGTGGGAATGGTTGCTCTTGAGAATTAGATTGGGAGAGAATTAGATTTGGGAGTGTTGGAAGGGAATTAGATTTCACTCAGTATTTGTGAATACTGTGGTTAAATTGGTATCCGAGTTGCTTACGAGAGCCCCAGCGCCGTGCTAAATTTGCCATGGCTCACCCTTCCACATCGGGCTCTGGCTGGGGCATGTAGGCTTTCAGCTGCCGTACATCTTCCCCAGCAGCAACATCCAGGAGGAACTTGGCTTTCCTGTGTGTTTGATTCCAGTTCAAACGGAGGTGACGGGGCGGTCGGAGGGGAGAAGGGCATGCGCTGGTACTTACCCTGCTGTGTCTGTTCAGGTATAAACCCGCGAGTGAAGTCGGGGCGTTTTATGAAAATCCTTCCCGACTACGAGCACATGGAGTACAGAGATGTTTACACCTGCCGTACGTACCTTGTGTCACCTACGCTTTCCGCACCGAGCACACGCCAGACGCTGCATGGAGTGTGAAGTGACTTCCACAGGCTCCCCTGGGGGTGGCTTGGGTGGAGCGAGCGGAGCTGGTTGCTCTTCCCATCTCTCCTTTCTCAGGCTGCTAGTCCCAACCCTAGAAGGTGGCAGCTTAGGTCAAGCAGCCGGTTTCAGGCTTATGGCTCCTTTGAGCTAGTCGGGCATCCTGTATGTGGCGTGTGCAGTTGGGAACTAACTGGGCAAGGGCTGGGGAGGCTTTCCTGGGACCTGGGTGTGCTGCACAGATAACATGCTTATGAAGGAGAGGTGAGCGCATTTGGCATTGCCCTTAATGCATTCTCCAGCCCCAGCAGTGACATGAGGGGGCTCTAGAAATCTTCATCCAGAAGGGCCAATAAAGAGGATTTTCAGGGGCTCCCTTAGCGGCATGCAAGCAAAGGCCAGCCTGTAACCATGTGGGAATAGTGCCGCCTGCATCTGTGTGTGTGTGGGGAGGGGTGGGGGGGTTAGGTTAAGGGGCCCCCGAGGTCCCTTCAAGGCCTATAGTTGTAACTCCCATGTTCCTAGATGGGGCTGTCTGTTCTGCAGCTTCTCTGCAGTTCTCCTCTCCCTTATAACTTGGCTGGGGGGTTGCTACATTTCGGCAGCCCTGTGGGTCGCCGCTAGAAACGCATGCACTGCTTGTATAGAGGGAGTGCCTCTCTGGTCCCACCTTTCCCTGTAAAACAGAGCCTTGAATTATTATTTTCTATTTAGCCTTAACAAAGGGAGGCTTCTGGAGAGTGCCTGAAACATGGGAGCGAGCACTGGGGATCTGGTTCGATTTCCATTTTGATGCCTAAACAGGTGCAGATTTGTAAAGTCTGCTGGTAGCCCCCGGGACACTCCAGGTGCCTTGCAAGCATCTCGCTACCTACAATAATTGTCCAGTGGGTTGCTGCCTCTTCCCACGAGCAATCTTTTAGAGACTACCACTGCCATTGCACCTTCTGGTATGACCTCCGGACCCAATATGGCCTGGTGCTCTGCGTTCCTCTTCCTGCAGGGAGAAGAGTAGCAGCGTTCCCAGATCTTAACACTGTGTTTTCTGGAGCCTGGTGGGGTTTTCAGTCTAGCTTGTCAATTAGATCAAAGAAGCCAGTGTTGGTTGGTACTTGGGGGCTGTTCTTTTGGTGGTAGGGTATGGTTTGGTGGAAGAGGGTGATTCAGGCTGGGGTTGCTAACCCTCCGGTTGGGATCGTCGTTTTGTGGCATGTGCTAACGTGTGGCATGGATGCTATGGACTCACCCACACCAAAGGCGGCAGTTGAGTTGGAGTGAAACGAGTAGGCTTTGTGCTAGCCCATCAGCTGACAGCTTTTGCATGAGCTGGAACGAGTGAAGAGCAGTGGAAAGCTTCCACTTGGTGGTCCTGTTTTCAGGTGCTTTGCTGGGTGCAGGCACCGGCGCCGATTCCCAGCTGGGTGGGAGTGACACGATCAGGATTGCTCCATCGATGCATTTGCAAAGCATTACCTCCCTGGCTTGCTTTGTTGCTGTCATCCAAATGACTGGTGTCTAATGCCTCTTTCCTCAAAACAAGTCATTGATTCAGCGCTCCCCCATTCGTGCCCAGCCCCCCTCACTGGCGAGGTTTGGAGTTGTACGGCGAAATCTGCAGCATCTGTTATCTGTATCTCGCTCTGATCGTGCAGCTGGTGGATGGATGAACATGCAGTTAAAATTCACGGCCTCTCAAGTACTTGGCTCTCCATCCAGAGAGCATCCCTGGGTTCTAATGACATCCTTTCTAATGACGTCAGCTGCGATGCTCTTGGTGAAGTGTGCCAGCTGCATTGATTTCACTGTGTGGACTTGTTCAGTGTTACTTGTTTTGTACTCGGATGTCACTGGGAAATGTAGCCTCTCTCTCCCCCCGCATAACACCTTCACCCTTGCACACAAGCACTTTTCACTCTCCCTTTCTATCTTCTATCCTCTCTCCTGGCTATGTGCAGGCCCTTGCAAAGGGCACAGCACAGCCAAAAGGCACAGGTGTATCTTCTTGGAGCCAGCAGTTGCTAGTAATTAGCAGCATGAGCTGTCTGGGTGCGTGGATCAGTCATCACGCCCCTACCGATCACCCTTCCAGGCCAGTGGCAGCTTTTTCCGAGGCTGATGAAACTGAACCTGACTCAGAACAGCCAGGAGGGGACATCCAGGGACATCCCCCTGGTTAGGGAGGGGGATGGGAAAAGAGGCCAAATCCCAAAGGAGGAGAGACCCTTTGTTCAGGATTTTCTTTGTCCCCTTCCTCCTGGGAGTTGGGACAGAAGGCAGAAACCCAAAGGACAGAGGGGGCTTGTGAGGGGAAAGAGCCACATGCTGCATCCATTGAGACTTGTGGGGAGCTGGCAGGCTTGTGCCCGATTGCAGGGGATGCACCAGCTAAGCCCCGTGAGGCTTAGGGGGTCAGCAACACTGCTGCAAAGCGGCTTCCTGCACCACCTGTGGGACCCAAGCCCTTGATGGGATAGCGAGTGGGCTTCGGGCTCAGGCAAGGAAGCCAAGTGTCTACGTGGAGATTTGCTCCTGCTCTCTGCTGTTTGCTGGCACTTTCCCAGAAACATCTGTGAGAAAGCACGGCTCCCTCCAGAGCCCACAGAGATGTCTCTTGGGGGCTGCAGAAGGCACGAGGTAGGGAAGGCTGCAGTCAGGTTTCCATGTTGCTCGAGCTGCAGGCTGTTCTCAGATGCTCTGTTCCTGTTCCCCTGATTTGGAGACTTGTGCAGCTTTGAAGAGCAGCTTACAAAAGCTGCCTGTCGTGCAGGAGGGCACGGGGAGCGTTGGCCTGCCTGCTTGCTTGGATTCCCCTGCAGCTGGAAAGAGGATGGGTCTTTCCTCTGGGTTCGAGGCTGCATGGGGCAGTGTGTGTCTGACTCATCCGCTTTTCCAGAGCAAACAGAGCCCTCGGAGGACTAAGCGGCAGCTTTGGCTGGGTGGCTGCTCACTCTGGGCCATGGCTGCATTCCCTCCAGTCTTGTCAAGCAGCACCGTCTGCCGCTGCTTGAAAGCCTGGCACTAGTGTCCCTTGCAGCTGCAGCGCTGAAGACATTTGGCAGTAAGAGCACTGTAAGTTTTAGAGGTGGAAGAGAGAAACCTCTGGTTTCATAATTAACCACTTGACATTGAGCTTCCTGTCCTAAAGAAAAGAAAAAGGAAGTCCTTAACTTTATCAGCGCTCGGAGCAAATGGGGCAGGGAGGCAAGTAGTGGTCAGCGGGGTGGCTTATCCATTCCTCTGTGTGCAGATGAGATGCAAGATTGCTTATCTCCTTGCCTCCCTGCTTCTGCCCCCCTTCCTGTCCTTACTGGGAGAGATCAGTCCAGCCAGCTCTGCTCACTTATCTTCTGTGTACAGACGCATCCCAGGATCTTGTGGGTGGCTGTTTTGTTCAAGCTCATTTCAAGTGCTGGTTGGGGCTGAAGAAGTCTCCTGCTGTCTTCCACACACAGCCCTTTGCTAATAGTTCGTAGAAATGGTCGCTTGGTTTTTTTTAAGTAGTTCATCACTACTTTTAACACCTACAGATTCAGGCCTCACTTTCAGATGGGGTGCGTGTGTGGAGGGGGTCACTTTTAACACTACAACAAAACGGACCCAAAGTAACTAATTGCCATGAACTTCCAGATTTGTAGGCAAGGCCACTCTGACACCATAGTTTGCAGCCATAAGCGGGAAGCTCATCGCTGGCCTGTCCCCTCCCGCGCAAGCTGCTTGAGTAGCAAAAACCCTCTGACCAGAAACACCTTGTAGCATTTTGTACATGTGAAGTTTTTCAGCAGAGAGCTGGGGAGCGTGTAGGACATGTAAGTCTCAGCTGAGCTATGCCTTCAATATCGTGGATGAGCACCTCTCTTGTGCTCCATCCCAGGGAGATGTGCAAGGTCCCAAAGTAGCTTCTGACCCAGATGCAGCTCCTCTGGCGCAGCCTGGCCATATGCACTGGTCTTCAGACTCGCCTGCGTTTCCTGCTGTTGGAACACTTTCCTCCTTGGACTTTGTGTTTCAATAGGACTCAAACCATAACTGGCTTGAGGATGAGGATCCACAGCTATAAGACTCTGCAGGGAAATCCTGAAATGCAGGAATTTATCTCCTGAAGCTCTTTGGAGCATGCGTAATCTCTGTGCACTCAGTCTGGGTGATGTCCTGGCTGCTCTGGTCCAGATCATTGCAGTGTCTGAGTGCCAGGTCCTGAAAATGCCGAGGCCCTGGGGTTTAGGTGGGGACAGTCGCATCTGTCTGGACAGGAAAGGGGATTTCCTCCTGGACAAACACTCGCCACTTCTTCCCCCTGCCTTCTCTGTGTTTCTCCTTCCCTTCACCTTTGGTGTTTGCAAACTTCTCGTCCGTGTCTGGGGGAAGTAGGTAGCTTGGAGATCGAGGCTCCAGGTGGAACACGTGATGTTCTTGACTGTCTGTGAAGCCTTGAAAGATTAAACTCCTGCTGCTGCTCTAGGCTGGGGGCAGAGCGGTGTGGGAGAATAATGTGGGGAGCCGCACATCTGTGGCAAGCTTCGAGAGACACCTGCTGCTTTCATGAAGTCTTCAGAACCGACTCCTCCTTGGGACTAGGAGCATGGGGGCTCTCCCCGTTTCCTAGTAAGGAGATGTTTGCTGTGGTGTTGGTCAACAAGGTGTGGAGTCTGACAGCAGCCTCCCTTTCTCTGCTTCTCTTTCCCCTCCATCCACCCCCACCCCTCTACCTGGCTTTCTCTCTCTCGTTTCCTAGTGCTGCACCGGTATCGACATATCTTGGGCTTATGGCAGCCGGACATTGGGCCGTACGGGGGACTGCTCAATGTGGTGGTGAGTCTGGATGCACCTCGGGCTTGCATGCAGGCTGCTGGCAGCAGTCCGTCCTCTGCGGGCTCCTTTACATCCCTCATGCCCCCACCATTAGCATGAGCCAGCATTTGGCCTGCTGCATTAGGAAGATGTCCAAGACTCCAAATATGCTGGGTCAAGTGGGAGTCAGCAGAGAGGAGCTGAGGCTCCTGTCTGGCTCCTTTTGTAGTTGTCTCCAGCCTGCATGCCTGCCTTTTTAGTACTCGATGCAGCTGAGAAGCACGAGGCACCTTTTGGGGCATGGGCTGACCCTCTCTGCTGGGGCTGACGTGCGGGCTGACCCCTGACTTCTCCACGAGAATAGAGGTGTCTCGGGCCTGGCATTTCTAGCTCGTCGGGAACCACGAGCTTGGCGCTAGGCATCGACTGACTGTGTCAGCTTGCCTGCACTTCCCTCCTTCCTGTGGGGATAAAGCCTTTCCTCCCTGAAAAGGAGCTAGTGATGCTGAGGGTAAGGCCTGTTGCAAAACCCGCCAAAGTGAACAGGAGCCTCTTTACCTCCCTTGCGTGGGCTTTGCATCGGACCCACAGTGAGGCTAAGTAGGGGAGCAGGCTGCTTGGGGCATTGTGCTTGTTCCTCTGAGGGGACTGGGCTGCTGCCCTCTATCAAGATTCAAGGCTGGTAAGTGAAACCCATACCAGGCCTTAGGGGTTTGTCATGCTCGGACCTCGGTGGGCAAAGAGAGCAGTGCATCTTGCACGGATGCTTGCTGCAGCCCCGGTACCCAAGGTACTAGCTGACTATACACTGAGCCTTCAGCTGGGGAAGAGGCAGTGCAGAGCTGAGGGCTCTCCTCGGCTTTAGGGGATCTTTCCATTTACAAAACACCTCCTCTCCCCGGGCCTGTAACGTTGAGGCGAGGATTTTATTCCTGGTGGGAGGCTGGCGCTCTCGCCTCTCGGAAAAGGGAGCTGCTGCTTTCCTCTTACTGGCACTGTGTAACAGAGCCAGAAAATAATTCGTTATCCCAGAGCCACAGTAATTGTGGGGAATAGAGCCCCCTTCTCCCACTTTCCCAAGAGGCGCTGCCGGCACAGACTCATCACAAACCAATTAGAGCCTGACTAGCTTCAGCACAATTTCTCTCTCCGGGGCCCAGAGCGTATCTGGCACTGATTTGCTTGCAGTAATAGAGACCTGAATGTTAATCCCTTGAAAGAGCCCTCTCGAGCCCCTCCTCCTCCTTGCTGGGCCTGCAGTTGAGTCGCTAGAAAGCAGTTTTTTCCAGCCCTAAGAATCCCTTTGATGGCTCAGAACAGCCCCTTGGTGCCGTCAGAAGAGCCATCCTGCCTGCCCTGGAGAGTCTCTGGGCCCAGGCAGCGAGCAAAGTGTGGGGAGGACTGACTCGCTCTCTCTTTCCTCTTTTCCCGGGCAGGTTGATGGCTTCTTCATAATTGGCTGGATGTACCTGCCCCCTCACGACCCTCACGTCGACGATCCGATGAGGTTCAAGCCCCTCTTTAGGGTTCACCTCATGGAGAGGACTTCCGCAACCGTGGAGTGTATGTATGGCCACAAGGGACCCCACAGCGGCCATATTCAGGTGAGCAGGGGCACATGCACACGCAGTAAGCACAAGATGCCAAGGTCCTTGTCTGGGCCTGTGGATAAGAGTGACCCCTGGGAAGTCATGATGGGAGTGCACCAGATTTTACTTGCAGAGGTATACCCTGCACAGCTACGTGGTCATCCTTGCCCTGGTGCTGTGAGTTACTTCCCAGCCCTTGCCAGTCACCTGGTTGATGGCACACGGGCACCATGTCCTGTTAGCCCATCTGCTGAAAGCCCTGTCTCCAGGGGCCTGGCTCAGAGTGGGACACCGGAGTGCATCAAACTATCTGGGGAAAGCAGGGAGCACATATATTTTAATTTGGCCTCTATGTGCTGGTGCTAAGCTGTGCCATGCAAGTGCCACAAGGATGGGACCTTTGAGGAGGGGACTGGGACCGTTGAGGAGTAAGTGAGATACTTTGAGGATTTGACTTTCCAGGGAGATTCTCCTCTTGGAGGTGAGTGGAGAAGGCAGCTCCGAAGTGGGAGAGTGGCCTCTCCCAGCTACCTGCCCCAGCGATTGGGGCTGCTACTTAGAGGGGCAAGGGCCCTTGATGCATCTCTCCTGTCTCTAGGAGGTATAGGTGGAGCCTGGGCTGCTGGGTGGTGGTGGCAGCACGTTCGTGGAGACGGCATCCAGCGGCTTGTGCCAATGTTTTGCCTGAAGTGGTCTTTCCCTTATTGCCATGTCAGTCTCTAGTTATGGTGTGTAACTCAAAGTCCCCTCCCCGGTGATTGCAGATTGTGAAGAAGGATGAGTTCTCGACAAAGTGCAACCAGACGGATCACCATCGAATGTCAGGAGGGAGGCAAGAGGTAAAGCTTTACCCGTCCAGGTGGAAAGACCAGGGTGGGTGGGTGGGGGCGTGCACATCTCCTTAGTCAGGGATCCATCTACTTCATCTAAAGGACAGCAGGAAATAGCGTCACTCTTGGCCCCGAGTCTTGGACAACAGTCAGAACTTGAAGAACAGCCTGTTTGACTCCAGCTTGTGTATAATTTATCGCGTATCTGTTTGTTGCGGACTAATTGTTGTCCTAGGAGCTCCCCTAATGGATAGAAATGATTTGTGGTCTGAAATTAAAGTGGAGCAAATTGATCCTCCTGCCGAAGATTGGCTGCAGCCTCCGCCTGGCCCTTATGCCCCTGATAGGAAGGGGACACCCACACGTGCCTTAAGGACCCCTGCATTGATCTCTCCTGCTGCTACGGCATTCCCACCCCACAGTTACCTTATGGGACATCCATGTAATACCCCCGTGTCACGCTGGCTCATCCTGCCTTTCTACACTGTGTGCATAGTTTGTGGTTCCTCTTCAAAATGGAATGGCAGCAGAGCTGTTTTAAGCCGTATGCTGAGTCTAGTCTTGCCAGGTGCTGAGCAGTCCTCGGCTCCCTCTGATTTTCCACCGCATAGAAGGATTTGGCCCTACGGGTGCTTGCTCTTACTGCGCTGTATCAGACAGGGCGGGTTGCTTTTCAGTGGCCTGATCTGACATAAGCAGCAGGCTTTGTACCCTTTAGACCACTTGCAAGATGCTGGTAACTTGAGGTTTCTGTTGCTTATGCGAATGGGTTTGATCCTACGTGGCATAACATTACATTATACTTGCACTTAACGCTATAGCTCGTTGTCCTCTTAGCATAATAAACAGGGCTGCTTTTTGCTGCCCGCCAAGATGAAAGGATTTTAAGGCTTGTTTTATGATACGGGATTACTAATAAAATGCGGCAGCTGGGCAACTCAAATCACATGCTGTCAGGATACAAAAGCAAACATCTGGGGAAGGCTTTCCTGGCACTTCCTCCATCATTGGTTTAGAGATGCCAGAGCATGCATCCCTGACTGTTCTGTATAATAGCTATTAACAGATCTGTTGTCCGTGAATTTGTCGAGTCCCTTTCAAACCCATCACAGAATTTCCTCTGATGGGAATTGGTGGATCTATATTTAGGAGAAGGATTGCAGGGTTGGACTCTTGCTTGGTAGAATCACGTCATCGGGAGATAAGCAGCTGTCGCCCCATTGCAACTCCTCTCCAAGGCTTTGCTTCTCAGAGCTAATATTGAGGCATCCTGGGGGAGAGTTTTTATTTATTTATTTTGGATTGTTTACTTTGGATTTAGGTGTGCAAGTCCTATGTTTATGGGACTTGTGCTTCTGAATCCCTTGGCACATCTGGAAATCTCCTTGCTGTGCTCATTCTGCTGTGCCTCATGCCCTGGGGCAGGGTCCAGGAATTTACCTTTCGACAAGGCTTCAGGCAAGGCACTTTTACATCTGTGCCCCTCTCTTGCTGTGCACTAGGTTCTCCCTTTCTCCTGGCTGACCCTCTGAGGTGTAGAGTGGTGTGCTCCAGGTGGGTTCACAGTCCCGTTGTAAGCTTGCTCGCAAGCAGTTTGCAAACTTGCTGGCTTCACGTGCCCCTCCTCTGTGTGCGTCTTGCAGGAATTCCGGACGTGGCTGAGGGAGGAATGGGGCCGGACGCTGGAAGACATCTTCCATGAGCACATGCAAGAGCTTATCCTGATGAAGTTCATCTATACCAGCCAGTATGAGTAAGGGCCCTGCTTTTTCTCTCTCAAAGTCAGGCTGGGGGGTGTCAAAATGCTGCCGCGTCCCCAAATCGTTCTCTTCTTTACCGATAACTTGCCATGTCTCTCAGCACTATGGTTCTTGCCGTTGTCTGGACTCTTGTCTAAGGGAGCTCTGCTGTCTTTTATACAGATGGTATTTTCCTCCATGGAAAACAGTTACCCCTAATAGCCGTAGACTCTTGCAAAGTGTGTTATCAGATTGATGGCATTGCCCAAGCCTTGCTTTAGGTTTGGACTCTACTGCAGTAGGCTCTGGACCACTGTATGGGAGGTGCCTTCCAGTAAGAGTGGCAATGCTGGATGTAATGAGGATAACTGATGAGACTATGTTGGGTCCCTCCAATGGCTCCGTGTCAGTGAGAGAGGCCTTTGAATCACTTGTTTAACTCTGAGTCACTGTCCGTCATCCCGACAGGGCATCAGCTTTTACTAATTGGTAAGGAAAGTGTATAATACTGCAACTAAACACAAATCACGTGACCCCTATGTTCTCTCTCTCTTTAAAGAGGTGGGAGTCGCTCTCAGAAGTTTGTTGCTTTAGGTGACACTGCGATAAGCTGCCCTCTGGTAATGTTGGGACTTTCAAGAAAGCCAGGGTGGCTTTGGTTGGAGTGCCACTGCCATACCTCACGGGCCAACAGATTTTTGCCAGACTGACCCCTTTTAGGGTATGGGATGGGTGCGTTCATCACAAGCGCTGTGCTTTTCAACCAGCAGTTCATTTGCAAAGACCCCCTCGGTGAGGTACCAGGCTGGCAGAAGGAGGAGATTGTAGTCTAAGTTCTCCTGGAAAGCTTGGTGCTCCAGCATCCACTTGCAACCTGCCTGTCCCTTCTCCTCCACAGCAACTGCTTGACGTACCGACGCATCTACCTCCCTCCGAGCAGCCCCGACGACCTCATCAAGCCAGGCCTCTTCAAAGGGACGTACGGGAGCCACGGCCTTGAGATCATCATGCTGAGTTTTCATGGGAAGAAAGCCAAGGGGACAAAAATAACAGTGAGTGGTCTAGCCCCTCTTTCTTGGCCTTTCTTTTGTGTTTTTGTTGCCTTGTCGTGAGAGTTGCATTGCATTCTCCCACCCTGCCCTCTAGGCCACAGATAGGAGGAGACAGCTGATTTCCTGGGATGCAGTTACTTGTCTTGGCCCGACTGGTTTACCTCGGGGCTGGTAGGAGCAGGTTTAATCATTCATCCTTCGACCTGACAACCTTCCTGTAGCTTGGGGACATGCAGCTTGAGTGGCTCTTCCCTTGGGGAAAGGCCCCAGAATCCTGTGCTCTCAGAGGAGCTAAAATATGTCTGCAGACTTTCTCCTGATCACAAATTCCTTCTGGCTTGAATTGCTTTCCTCTTTCTCCCAAATGGCCCTAACTGGCTCCGTTCTGTCTAAGCCTCTAGCAGACCCTTGCAGAAGACCTAGGCCTGTTGGAGATGTCCCAGATAGCTGTGGCTGGCGAACCCTTCCTTCCCCCAGCGTGGAAGGATGACTGCGTGCAGTTGTCTCACTTTGTTCTTGCGTCTTGCAGACTTGGCCTTTTGTTTAGGGTAAAACCTCCACATCCAGGTGGGGCTTTGGTGTAGTAGCTGAATGCAGGGATCATGAAATGGTTGGGCCCTTGGGTTAGCCAGCCAGGGAGGCAGCGATGGAATGGGTTAACGCCAACATAAGGCTCGTGAGCGAACTCCCCAGGGCACGTGGGAGCTTTTGGTAGGAACTCTGCCCCGTCACGTCCTTCCCCTGAACTGTGGCGGCTGTCCCTTGTTTCCCATCTCCAGGGTGATCCCAACATCCCAGCTGGTCAGCAGACTGTGGAGATAGACCTTTTGCACCCCATCCAGCTGCCTGACATTGAGAACCAGCACAACTTCAACGAGCTGTCCCGCATCATCCTCGAGGTCCAGGAGCAAGTGCGCCGGGAGCAGCAGCAGGAGGAGGAGGAGGGTGCAGGCTGCTCCCGGCAGAGCGCCACGCCACAAGCGGAGCAGCCTGCACAGGAAGGAGACGCAGGAGCCGAAGAGACAGCGGACAGAGCAGGGGCTGCAGCCCAGGGCTCAGAGCCAGCTTCACAGCCTTTCGTGTTGCCCCTGGGAGTCGTATCGCGGAACAAGGATTACCCCCGGACCTGCCGAATGTGGTAAGTGAGGTTTGGGGTTAATTCCCCGCCCCTGGTTGAGTAGAGCTGCAGAGCTGCCCAAAGCTAGTCCCGACCTCCCCCTGCGCACTTGCTGTGTGCATTGCCTGCCGGTGAGCTCCCGGCTCCTTTGTGCCGTCTGGTCTCATTCGTTTTCCTCGACTGCTCCATGTCCCATGATTTGTGGTTGCTCCTGCTGGATACTGAGCTGCCGCTTCTGTGCTGCCGCCAGTCCTGCTACAATCGGGCCCTAAGCTGTGGTCGCCTCCATCATTTGACCCCTGCGGCTTTTGCTTTTTCCATCAGCCCCTTGTGCTTTATTCTTTGGGATCCTCTCGGCATGAGGCTTGGCACTTGCTTGCCAGGACCAGGGAGACGTGCTGTGTTCTCCCCCCTCAACTCTGCTCCAAGCCTGTGTGTCTGGCCCCTGTGGTGCTGCGAATGGTCAGTGGGCAGGGAGTGGTCTGAACCTGTGAGCTGTGCCCCTTGTTGGACTTGGTCCTCCAGCAGAGGACCCTTGGCCAAGTCTCCTTGGCCCTCAGCCCCCTCTCCTCCCTTGAAGCCACCAGGGTCTTATTGCAACCAGTGTTGCTGTAGGTCATGACTGATCACCTCCCTGAACACCAGTGAACTCCCTCTGACCTACACCCGTCCTTTCCCTCTTAATTGCGTGGTTACTTGAGCATGTCCCCACAGGTATGACCCTGCCAGGCACAGGCCCCCACTCAGTGTCCTGTCTGGGGTGATTCTTGGGGACTGTGAGAACACCACCCTCAGCTAGGTGTTGCCTCTAGCTGCAGAAATATCAGGCAGTTGACCTGGCATACACGCCCATGCCCTGACTTCTGGCACTGTCCTGTATAGCAGCCAGGCTTTGAGTGCAGGGGAAGGGGCAAGCGACTTATTTGTGGCCCTGGGGCCTTTTGAAGATGGAGGTTTGTGAAGCAGTGGGCTCGTGCTCTGCAGCAAGGTTAGGAGGTGAAACATCCCACCCCACATTGCATGGCACAAGTGGCCAGGTGCTTTCTGGGATGGCTGGATCTTCCTCAACAGCAGCACGTGCTGGCTGGAGATCCCTCGTCTGCAGGGACTATGTAGAAGCCCACGTCAGGAGCACTAGTAGCTGCAATATTTGCCTTCCCCTCTCCTCTGCTTTTTCCAGCTTCTACGGCACGGGGCTCATCGCCGGCCACGGCTTCACCAGCCCCGAGCGGACGCCGGGGGCCTTCATCCTGTTCGACGACGACCGCTTCGGCTTCATCTGGCTGGAGCTGAAATCCTTCAGCCTCTACAGCCGGATCAAGGTCGCGTTCCAGAACGCCGAGGCGCCCTCCCGGGAGGCTTTCGAGGAGATGCTCAAGAACATTCAGTCACTGGCTACTTGAGGGGCAGCCCCCAGGAGAGTGGGAAGGGCCTGTGAAGACTTCTGCTCTCCCCACCTGAGAATGGGATGGGATGGGACGGGGACCCCTGGCCCTTGGTACCTCGGAACGAAAGCATGCACTTTTCAGTAAGGCCTTCTCCCCCCTCCTCAAACCTCCAACCCTCCCCCTCCCCATATCCTATTTAAAATAGACCTGAAATATCCCTCCCCCCAACTTGTTCCTGGCAGTACTTGATAGTCGGTCTGTAACGCAGCCATGGATAATGGGAAGCAATGGAGTGTGTTTGCTTAAAGAGAATGGACTGGAGGGAAGCTAGGTGGAGCCCCGCATTGGAGGGCCTTGTAAATACAGAGGTGGCTAATCCCGTGCCCTGCTCCAGGGAAGCAGGGTCCTCCTCCAGCCAAGCGCATCCTTCAACATCTCTTTCCCACCTCCCCATGCACGAGGTCACAGAAGATTGGATCACTTAAAACCCCTCCCACGTGGCCCCCACCTGCCCGCTCTGTATCGTGCAGTCCGGGCTTGGCTCGTGTTCGTCCTCCCCTCTGGGAGCCTCCCTCTGCTGTGCACGGCCTTGATAGCAAAGCAAGCCAGCTCCACTGTGGCTTGGTGATGGCAGCAGGCTTTTCCTCGCTGAGAATCCCTCACGCCGGCCCCGCGGGAGGGACTCAGTCGCTGCGCAGGTATCCTCTCTCCGCCTTCCTCGCTCCAGTTCAGTCTCTTCCACTGTCGGAAGGAGAAATCATCTCTCCCCTTATTACAAGCACTGGGAACAGCTCTTGGCGCCAGTTCAGGCTGTACTTTTAACTCCTTTTTAAGTAGATCTGTTAAAAGTTCTCCCTTTAAAGAGCTTGGGGAGAAACACCTCAACCCCATGAACTACTGGCTTCCCCTGTGTGTGCTTGAGGGCTGGCAGAGCTGGGATGTGGAGTTTCCTGCTGTTGCCTGGTATCTTAGGCTGCTCTCACCCTTCCCCGCGCCCTGCCCGGGATTAGTTAAGAGATCTCTTGAGGCTGTGATTCCTTATGGTGCCGCTCATTGGCTCCCTCCTCTTTGGATCCAGCAAGTACTCGGGTGTTGGTGCCTCTGCCTCGTGTGTTTGCCCGTCTGGGTTTCTTGCGTTCTTTCCTCTACTACAGTCACTGATCTTCCCAGACTCTGGTCTGCCTCTGCTACAGGAGACTTGCCCACAGCAATTCGGGAATGCAGCTGCTGAGCTCCGCTGGGAAGCACAGGTAGGAGAGGTAGATGCCCAGAGCACCGACCAGCTGCAAAAGCTTCCACCACGAGACGGGGCGCTGGGGTGGCCGGATTTGTGTCTTGACCCAGGCAGGCAGTTGTGGTCCATGCCTGTCATTAGAGACCCTCATGAACCAAGCAGTGCAGCAGGTGACGTGCCAGCCAAAGCATCTTTTGGCAGATGATAAGGACCTTTAAAACCTTATAGACTCCCATCTGGGCTCTTCACCTTCCACGGATAGTGTTCGTAAGTGGTTATGCACGATCTAGTGGTACGTTAAAGCAAAAGATGAGATCCGTGGCCTGTTTCATTAACAGGAAACGTATTCCCCCTCACCTAACATTAATGTTCTTGCTGAGGCTGCTTCCCCAGCCTTCATATCCTCATCCCATGCTATGTGAGAGGAGTTGGGGACAGGCTCGTGGTGGGGTGCATCACTTGCAGGGCTGATCGTCTCCTTGGATCTAAGTCCATGACACTGCACAGATCAGGGAGCTCTGGGCCCATCTTCCTCCCAACCTGACATACCTTAATGTTCCCTGGGCCAGGGCAGGGGTAGTCATTCATGGGAATAAGCTATCAATTAAGCTGATTTAATGCAGCCCTTGAGAAGGGTGGGCGTTTCTCTTAGCAGAAGGGAGAGTTGGTTTGCATGGCATCCCGGTACAAAGGCTTTGACTCAGCGACAGGATGTTTTTTGTTGGTCTCTGGTGCCTGGCTGCTGTGGGCTGAGGTAGGGTTAAAAGGCAGGCTCTTCAATCTTGGCTCTGAATTTCCTCTCTTTCCTCCAGGCGGGAGGCTCAAATCCATGTTCCAAAGCCCACGTGAGAAATGAGCTGGATATTGTGGGCAGGTGCAAACGTCTGGGCTAACCGGGCATCTGCAAATGGCAGTAGCCCCTTGGCCTTTGCGTAGCCATCTGACAGGCAGAACTTCCACCGGGACCCTACCTTCGCACGAGCGATCCAGTCTTTAGCCTGACTGAATCCTCTTGGTTGTTTCTACAGCAGCCCTTAACCCAACCTGCATCTAGGGCAATACGGGTGCTTCGCCGGAGGGATTCCCGACTCCCCGGTGCTCTGTCCTGTCCCTGTTAGCCGGCCTCGTTGCAGCCAAATGAATGATGCACGCTGCGTACTCAGCTGAATGTGCACAAGCCACTGATATTTATTAAAGCGGATCTGGGTTGCAACTGCTGCTTACGCTGCCCGGTATTTCAGAGTCTGCTGCCCCAGAGCACCAGGCAGGAGAAGGGCAGGGGCCTTTCATGGTGCACTGAACACGGGCTGCATCGTTGCTTACATTGGTGTATGCCCAGCAGCGGCTGGTTTCCAGGCCAGTGCGATTCCTTTGCTCAGACCATGTTGCTGCATCCAGTTTTAGTGGCGGTGTGACTAAGGTGACAGCTTTTCAGAGCTGTCCCTGCCTTTTAGGAAGCTCCTTTTCTTTGCAGGCTGCTTGAATGGGCTTCACAACGTGGGGATGCCCCTGTCCTGGTGAAAGGCCAGGCTGCCAGCCCTTGTTCTGCCAGGGGAGTAGATGCTGAAATTGGACGGAGCTGTGCTTGCGGTGTCTCGGGGTGTTTCAGAAGCTTCAGCCTGGTGAGAACAGGACGGCTGGTAGGGTACGGAGACCGATGAGGCGTTGGGAGCATCAAAGAAAGGTAGAGTAAGGGAAAGTCAAGGGTTGGACTTAGGCAGGACAGGGGGAAGAGGTTTAGGACTATATGTGTGTGTGTGTGTGTACGTGGCTATAAAAATGGCAGGATTAATGCACCTTGTTTTGTTGGGTGATGACTTGAAGCCAGATCTTGCCGGTCATGGAAAGGGTCCACAACACCATCGTGCTTCCTCTGCGTGTGAAGCAACCGTCGGGTTACCTCCTGCTTCAGACTGACTGTAACGTGCCCTGTGAGGTGAAGCAGTACAGCACACGTCCTGTCAGCTGCCTCTAGCCTAATTGTGCCAACCCAGCGGCGTAGTCACTAATCGGGGAATTTTGGGAGGACACGGGTCCAATGCTTGGTGTGTGAAGTTGAAGCTAATCCACCACTTGCCCCCAGCAGGCCAGGTGTCCCTGAGACCGGCTGTGACGGGTTCCTTGTAACTAGCAGCAGGGCTGGAGAAAGAGGTGCAAGACTAGTCCTACGGCGGAGCGGAAAATGATGCATCTGATGTCCAAAGGAGCTGATTGTTCCCATCCACCCAGAACTGAAGACCATACGGAGGGAGTTGCGTGTCTCACAGCTGCATGTACTCGATGGTTCTCCAGCAGCAGCCGAGCGACTTCGCTCCTAGCAAGCAGGGGTCTCGGTCAGCTCCTCACTTTGACCATTGCTTCCCAGCTGTTGAGGCAGCTGTGTGACTGAAGGCCAGGCGGTGGCATGATGCTGGGCACCCTGGTAGCACCCTGTCAGCTAGGGGTAGAAGGAGGGGATATACCTGCAAGGACCCATTTAGGAAATAGTGTCACGGCGGTGCTAAGATCAGCTGTGCTCACCAGGAACACGGGCAGGAAGAAGTGTGATCCTACACCGAGCTCTGAAGCTGGCCTCTCGCCCTTCATCCAGCTCCAGGAGCTGCCTCGC